AATGTTGACATGCGTCTTACGAGCTGCGCCACTGAGACTGTTAAGGGTACTGCAACATTTTACACCTATAAATCACACCATTTCTTTTCTAATTCACTCAGTGCGATGTTCAGACCCAACTGTGTTAACCACATCAGCTAAACTCTCTATTTTTTTCTTTTGTTGTTAATTCCGGAGAACAAACTTGCAAATAACACCGCTTTCCTCCGGTCTACCTCCGAAAGCAGCACCTCCAATTCACATTCTGTTCAAGTTTCTCTTTTTGCTTGCTTTTTCCGTTGCTTTTTCGTTGGGTTTTGCCAAAGTAGAGTCATTAGCATATTCATACAGGGGAGGAGGCAGGGAGGGGTTTTGTGCTCGTGCATGTTGCGCTCAGTTTCACGTTCATTCAGGTGTACAAAAGAATATGCCTGAGATTCGGCGTACGCAGTGTTTTATACATCTGAATTTTTTTCTGCGTACGCACATGTTTTAGTGCGTACGCAATGTTTTAGTATGATTTCCACGCAAGTCTTCGTACATGAGGCCCCAGGTGCTTGTATTTGCTCCTGCTATACGTCCACAACTTCACACATTGGGTTAAATTAGGCTTTACAGTTTCCATGTTCAGTCCTTTTATTCCACTGTATCTTTTTAAGCAAAAGGCAGCAGCTTTACAACCTGACATTCAATCAGAAGACAAAGTCAAAGCTGAGCTGACAGCCAATCTTTCCTAGGCTCAGCAAAACTTGCAAAAATCCTCTGTATTCCTACAATTGCAATATTTACACAAAAATATCTTATTCAGATCTTCAGCAACGCTATTTAACTCGTAAATTTGTTTTACATTTATTTACACCTTGACCGATTTATCTATGGCATGGCCATTAAAAATACACTGTTCCTTAACCAGATGGGTTTTCAAGTTACTTATAAAGAGAATGCTTCTTCAGTCATGTTGTTGTAATGTTTTAAGTTGACTAGTTACACAATTAAAAAAAAATCGAAATCGTGAATCGTTCAAACTTTATAAAAAACCTAGATTTTTTTTTTTTATTTGCCATATCGCCCAGCCCTAGTGATCGCCGATGTTATTTTCAATCAGAACTCATTTCACACAGCATGATTTTGAATCGCAGATAGCTCCAGATATTCAACACCCCAAATATCTCATCGGTGTCTGTGACTCATCGGCGATTCTCTCAGGCGGCGCCTTTGATAGTTACCCTGTGATTGATACTCACGTGAACGAGCACCGATTTGCCTGTGATTTCAGGCATTTGTCTGCCATCAAACCCTGTTGATGAGTCAAAAATCATAAATTTCACAATTCAAAAATGCACAATGTTTTTTTTTTTTTTTTGAGATGGAGTGGACGTAAAAGTTTTGGTTCAAGTGTCAGAGAGATGAAAGAGTTTGTGTACAGGTGGTTTGTTAAGCCCACTTACTTGTGGTCCTGGAGTCCGTTCTTCGTACGTGGATTACTCAATTAGCTGGATTTGGATGTTAACGATCTGACACGATCCAGGATCGTTTCGTTCTTCAAAACTCTTCTGATTGTTGTTTCATAGTAACAGTTATGGTAGCTCAAACCTGCTTGGGAGCAGGCTCATTTCTTATAAATAGTGTTAGATCGGGTCAGTTTAAGCAAAGATGATACTGAAAGTATGTACCAAATGGTGATGGTTTCTTACAGTAGTTGTATACACTTGGAAAAATAGTAAATTTAAATATATTTAACAATATATATATATAAAGTAAAAAAAAAAAAAATATATATATATATATATACAGGGCTCGAGATTGCGACCATTTTGCCGAAAATTTATCTATGCGACCTCATAATATATATGGGCCCATTAGTGCGACTACAGATAATGGTTGTAGTGCGACCTGTTTTGATTTTTTGTAAAAACGTGCTGAATCGCTCTTCCCTGCCGCTATATTGGTTCATATTAGCTGTCACTCACTCAAGACTTTCCTCTTTCAGATGACAGGGAAGGAGCTTTTATGACCACGGGAAATGCAAACGGCTGAAGAGTGAAAACTTAAAGCACACAGGTTTGCAAACCCCATCTAAAGTTGAGGCGCAGATGAGAGCGATCATGACATGTGGTGAATATTGATCCGCCAGCTGAGATCAATCGAGTACGTGCTTTTCGGAGAAGGTGCCCGAATCTCGATGCGTTGCATTCGATGCGTGTTCAGCACAAATGTCCGCTAAAAGTCAAATCTAATACTGTACATATCATCGCCAAAGGAGCTCGCCTTTACTAAGTTTACACTGAAACTGCGGCTCATAACAAACAGCGGTATTGCGCCGGTGGTTATCACAAGAGTCCTGCTCTGCCTTCTCATAAATTGGGTCGGCTGACTCGCCTGCTTTCCACTAACACAGAAACATGAAGATCAGCTCAGACTGAACCTTTAAATTGACACAAACTGAAACTAAAACTTTTAAAGAGTGATAGAAGTGAGACTTTACTTACTTTCTCTTGTCTATTCTTTCTTGAGGTGTATATTATTTTTTTATTTATTTACTGATGACTGCTTTGCAGCTTTCATCATTGAATTGAATGATTTATTATAATCTTTTGTTTGTTTTGTAGCAGAAATATTATTTATTAAATTGACATGCATATAAAAACAGCAGTGCAAAATAAATATTTCTTACTGCAATGCTTCATTTTTGTTTGATGCAAACTATACAATTATTTTTCATAAAGTAACAGACTTTTTATAGCAGATATTCATGCACGTCGTTCAAGGCAGTATCATAATGAGAAATGTAATTCATTGTTACTATTATTGTCATTTTCATCATCATTAATATTCTATAATTATTAGACATTCATTTTGGAATTATTGCACACAAATATCAAGTCATCACAGCGATAGTTGTTTCTGTTTTTTGTTAGTCCTTTTGATGTTGTTTTAAAATACAATAAATCCCTTTAAAAACTATTTGCAGCGGTGCTCATTCATTTTTGATGGGTGCTCCAAAATTTTTTTTGGTGCTCCTAAATATTTAAAGTTGGAAGCACCGGTTCTACCAAGTAAAAAAATTAATTTCGAGCCCTGTTATATATATATATATATATATATATATATATATATACACTCCGAAATAAAAGTACAAAGACTGCCACGGGGAGGTTTAAAGAGAATTTATTGATATGAACTTTTTAGATGCAAACGCGTACATGCACAATATTCAACTTTTTATTATAAAGGATAATAATTTATGCAGTCATGCACGTGTTTTGACCGCTAATATGCCGGTGATTGACACCTTTACCGATATGAAAATGCTTTTCGGATGCAAAATTAATTTACACAGTTATTCCTTATGCCGATTAAAAAACTTGAGTAGCCCTATAGGCTACTATAATAAAGAAAATCTTCTCTGAATGTAGAACTAAATACATTGGTATGCAGTGAAATACATGATGAATACTCTTGACACATGAAAGTGTAGCGCCTGCAGCTCACAACAAACGTGGAAAGTTAACAAACCGTTTACTGGGAATTTGATGTAATTTTGCTCACATGGATAATTGAATATTAATCAGATGATGTCATTACGCTGATGTGCCGTCAGCCAATCGTTGCATTGCTGATCATGTTTTTCGAGGATCGATAGATCTGTCCTTTACAACACACAGCGATCTCAGATCAGTTCATCCAGACTTTTAATCTGATTCGCCAACTTGTTTGAAGAACCAAATTAGCCAGAGATATCAAGATTAACAGATCCAGGATCTGCCAAATCATCTCAGATCATTTAAGCGAGGTACGAAGAACGAACCCCTGGTTTTGTTTACATGGAGTTTAGATGATTGCAGGAGAGATTTTAGTTGTCATTTGATCGATAGTGAATCTGCAGTCCATGTATCAATTAATCATTTATTCATTTTCTTGTCGGCTTAGTCCCTTTATTAATCCGGGGTCGCCACAGCGGAATGAACCGCCAACTTATCCAGCAAGTTTTTACGCAGAAATCTCTGGATTTTAAATTGCAGTAAATTGTACCAGTGTCTGTGTTTACGACTGTGGTGTAATGTACAGTTGAAGTTAAAATTATTCGCCATCCTGTGAATTATTTCTTTCTCTTTCAAATATTTCCCTAAATGATGTTGAACAGATTCAGGAAATGTTCACAGTATGTCTGATAATATTTTATCTTCTGGAGAAAGTCTTATTTGCTTTATTTCGGCTAGAATAAAAGCAGTTTTTAATTGTTTTAAACCAATTTTAAGGTCAATATTATTAGCCCCCTTAAGCAATATTAGTTTTGGATTGTCTCCAGAACAAACCACGGTTATACAATGACTTGTCTAATTACCCTAACTTTACCCTAATTACCCTAGTGAAGCCTTTACATGTCATTTTAAGCTGAATACTAGTGTCCTGAAGAATATCTAGTCTAATATTATGTGCTGTCATCATGATAAAGAGAAAAGAAATCAGTTATTAGAGATGAGTTATTAACACTATTATGATTAGATTTAGAAATATGTTCTCTTCGTTAAATTGGGGGAAAAGATATACAGGGGGGGCGAATAACTCTGACTTCAACTGTGCTTCTCATGATATTATTGTTGGTCGATATCTTCAGATTTGTTAGATTTTACAGCGCCTTGGTGAACAATCTTTCTTTTTTTATTGGTGCTATATAAATAAAGTTGAGTTGAGGTGAGTTGATCACTGTTTGCGCTGAACAAGGGTGTGGACGTCTTTATATATTGTGAGTGTCAGTGTGCTCTGGAGGTCCAGGTGGGTTTTAAGGAGTTTAAAGGGACAGTGCACCCAAAAATGACCATTCTGTCAATGTTTAAACATTGCTGAAACATTATTTAGCTTGTTTTCATATAAAAACTCTCTTAATTTTGACTCATTATTTCTGAAAACAAGACAATTTGTTTTGCTAGTCTAGAAAAAGCTTCTTGATTTAAGAATTTTCAGACATTTGAACTAGAAACAAGAGCAAAACTCTGAGTTTGAAAATCGTTTGTTTGCAGTGTGAGCGTCAGATGTGTGTCCGTCTTCTCTTCAGGTCCATGGCATTACACAGAGATGAGTTTGCCACACATCCTTGAGGAAACGCTGATCAAACGTTCTCAGCAGAAGAAACGAACGTCTCCACTCAACTATAAAGAGCGAGTGTTCGTTCTCACCAAGAGCAAACTCACGTACTATGAGCTCAGAGCCGAGGTCAGTGCAAATCATTGGTGTTTTATAGTGCTGGGCAAAGATTAATCACGATTAATAATGGTTTGTTTTGGTAGATTTGTGTGTGTGCTCTGTATATTTATTATGTATATAAGCAAAGTCCCTTTAAGGCAAGTCATTTCACTCGGCGGGCATCTTTAAAACGCCTCTTAGGCGTTCTGTCTGAAACGTGAAACATCAAATTCTCCAAAATTACTTGCCAAACTTACAAATACTCTTCATATTAGGAATCATCAATAAAATTAAACAACATCTGACTATCACACAAAGTCTGCAGAAACTCACGTCTGGTCTGAGCTCCTCCCCCGGAGAATTGTCATACTATAGCAATCGCTGATTGGCTCCTGTACTAGAAGGCGGGACTTCATTCGCCATATTGACAGTTACACTCTTCCCCATTCAAAAGTCTACGAGTGACACGTCTTGTGTATTCTACAGTCTTTGATATAAATACACACATGCTTGCCTATCTGTGAGAAAATGTGTATTTATATTTAGATGAGGGCTGTCAAATGATTAATCGTGATTAATCATATCCAAAATAAATGTTTGTTTTTATTTATTGAAAGGGGAAGAGGAAGTTATTTGTAATTTGTGTGAGAATAATTTGACTGTATAACATTTTAATAGAATGGATATTTTTGAACAATATTTGAGAACGTTTTTACTCAGTGTGTGTGTGTGTGTGTGTGTGTGTGTGTGTGTGTGTGTGTGTGTGTGTGTGTGTGTGTGTGTGTGTGTGTGTGTGTGTGTGTGTGTGTCTATCTGCAGAAGAGGTTTAAGAAAGGCTCTGTGGATCTACAGAGGGTCAAGTGTGTGGAGATCGTGAAGAATAACACAACTGTCATTCCCTGCCAGAACAAATACCCCTTCCAGGTACAAACACAACACACACATTTCACACAGGCATTTTAGATGTGAGACAAGTGTGTTAAATGAGCCTGGAGTGTGTTTCCAGGACAAAACTTTGATAAAATATAAAAAATAAAAATACTGTGATTGTATAATTTATGTTATATTATGCCATACACTCACTGGCCACGCTCTAGTAAGGTGTACCTAATAAAGTGGCCGGTGAGTGTATAGGATATGTGAAATGGTCAGATGTTTTAAAATGAGCCTATTCTACTCACAAAGGCTGTATTTATTTAATTTTAAAAAATTAATATGAAAATAAGTTTTTGCTATATAAAATAACTGTTCATTAATTTTATTACTGAATGTTGTTTAAATATGTATTTATTCCTGTGATGTAAAGCAGAATTTATGCATCATAAATCCAGTCTCATGATTCTCCAATCTCATGATAAGTCCATGTCACATGATCTTTCAGAAATCATTATAATGCGATTATCAATATAATTTAAATGCAAATTTAATGCTCTAATTAGTATTTTTTTATATATTTTTTAATATATATTTTTTATATATTTTTTAATATAACTTACCCAACACTGCACAGTGCCGCAAAACATCAGGAATTTAATGTATAAACCTATAAAATCTGAATCTTTCTCCTTCCTCCAGGTAGTTTATGATTCCAGCACGTTGTATATTTTTGCTCCCAGTAATGAGAGTCGAAGTGTTTGGGTGCAAAACATCAAGGAAGGTCAGTGGGGTTTTACAATACTATATGATACAATACGATACGGTACTATACAGTACAATAGAATACTAAATGATACGATTCAATACAACACAATTCTATATGATACTGTACAATACAATATGATACAATACTATAAATACATTTTTATTTTTATAGCAGGTTTTAAAATGTAGATTGTGTCAAAACAGCTTAACAGATACTATATTATATAATACGATTAAATAATATGTAATACTATACTAGATGATACAATACAATGCTATACGATACAATAACATACAATATAATACAATAAGATACAATACTGTTTAATACTATACAATATGATATGATACAATACTATATGATGTAATATAATACTATACAATATTATACAATATGATACAGTACAATACAATATTATACGATGCAACACAAAATAATGCTATATGATACAATGTGATACAATACTGTACAGTATGATAAATCCTATATGATACTATACAACACGATACAATACGATATGATATGATAATTATGATAATATGATATAATTCAATTAATCTTTATTTCTATAGCACATTTTACACTGTAGATTATGTCAAAGGAGCTTAAGATTTTTAAGAACATTTTTGTTGAATAAAAAGTGTATGTATACAACCATATTTAAATATTCAGCTTGTTTTGACACATTATTTAAAATTTGTCCAATAATATCATACCCTGAATACAATACAATACTATACAGTACAATATAAAATAATACTGTACGATACAGTACTATACAATACAATATAATACAATACAATACGATACAGTACTATATGATACAATATAATACAAAACTATAAGATACAATACTATACAATACAATATAATATGATACTATACGATACAATACTATACAATACAATATAATACAATACTATACGATACAAACTAATATGATACAATACGATACAATACAATATAATACAATACAATACTATACAAATTAATACAATACTACACGATACAATATTATACAATACTATACAATACAATACAATATAATACGATTCTATACGATACAATACTATACAATACAATAAAAAATAATACTATACGATACAATAATATACAATACAATATTTAATACAATACTATACGATACAAACTAATAAGATACTATACGATACAATACTATACAATACAATATAATACAATACTATACAATATAATACAATACTATACGATACAATACTATACAATATAGTATGATACTATACTATACAATACTATACAATACAATATAATACTATTCGATATAATATAATACAATACTATACTATACGATACAATACTATACAATATAATACGATACTATACGATACAATACTATATAATATAGTATGATACTATACAATACAATACGATACTATACGATACAATGCTATACGATACAATATAAAACAATACTATACGATACAATATAATACAATACAATATAATGTGATTCTATACGATACAATACTATACAATACAATACTATACTATACGATACAATACAATACAATATAATGTGATTCTATACGATACAATACTATACAAAACAATATAATACAATACTATACGATACAATACAATATAATGTGATTCTATACGATACAATACTATACAATACAATAAAAATTAATACTATACGATACAATACTATATGATACAATACAAGGTGCAAGAACCCTGGTAGATGAACTTTGAGTTGCTTATTGTCTCTTTTTTTATTTTATTTATGTGTGCATGTGTGGGTGCGTTTTCCTTCAGAGATCAGGAATAATCCTCTGATCGCAGACAAGTATCATTCTCAGTTCTGGCAGGAGGGCGAGTGGCTGTGCTGTGGGCAGGTGGATAAGCTCGCACCGGGATGTGAGGGGTACAACTTATTTGGAGATGGTAAGACAGCTTTAGAGCTTTAAAGGGATAGTTCACCTGAAAGTGAAAAATTCTGTCATCATTTACTCACAATTTACTCATTCCAAACCTGTCAGCAAGTTTTACTTTGCTACAGCAATGCACAAAAAAATCAGGAAAAAAATATTTATTTTCTCTTTGTCATGATGACAGCATATAATATAACACTAGATACTCTTCGAGACACTAGTATTCAGCTTAAAGTGACATTTAAAGGCTTAACAAGGGTAATTCGGGTAAAGTTAGAGTAATTAGGCAAGTCATTGTATAACAGTGGTTTGTTCTGGAGACAATCCAAAACTAGTATAGCTTTAGGGGGCTAATAATATTGACCTTAAAATGGGTTTAAAACAATTAAAACTGCTTTTATTCTAGCTGAAATAAAACAAATAAGACTTTCTCCAGAAGAACAAATATTAGAGGAAATACTGTGTCTAATTCCTGAATCTGTTCAACATCATTTGGGAAATATTTAAACAAGAACACAGGAGAGTGAAATTTTTTTTACATCAACTGTATTTGTTTTTCCTTCTATGGAGGTCAATGGTTACAGGTTCTTCATTCTTCTTTCATCCTCTTTTGTGTAGAGAAACCAACCATAAAGGTTTGAAACCACTTGAAGCTCAGTTTTTAGCGATTAAATATTCTTTTCGGGTGAACTATCCCTTTTAAGGGGTTAAACAGCCAAGCACAGAAATGATCATGTGTTTTTCTCCCCATCTCAGTTTCACGTAAACCTCTTCCTCCGGTTCCTGAAGATCAGAACATCAGCTGTACGGTGAGCACAAACAAACACTGAGCATCTTCATCTTCAACACCACATACAGTCATGGGAAAAAGTTAGCACACACTATTGAATTTGGTAGTTTTCTGTATCATGACATCATAAAAAAATCTATATGACGTTAAAATGTGTAAGATAAACCCTCAGATCTCAATCCCACAACGTCATTATTTCTTAAACAAAAGCCAATATAGAAAAGCCACGGTAGATAAACATATGATTCAGATCCTGCAGATCCACTTTTGTAAGTAATGATGGTTCTGATTTTCTGGATGAGCCTCTCAGTCTCTGATCATTCTGGAGGAGTTTTGTGCACAGCATTTCATTCAGGAAGAGCTCAATACTCTGTTGTCTGTTGTGAATACACACTCTCAAAGGGTAACATTTACATTCTGTGTCTTTAACAAAATGATGACCAATCCTTCCACTATGTAAAGGTGCTTTCTTTCACACGTAGTACATTTCCTTTGGTCCAGACCAAGGTTAAAAATGATTTAAATTAGCATTTTTTAGCCATTTTGGTTCCTTTTCACACCAGACCGACTACTCTGTACCATAGACTGTAAAAAACATGGATGACGTGACAGTGCCTTCTTCCATTGAATGCTTCCAATGCAAAACGCATGATAATAGGCCCAAACTGTCACAGAAACTGTTGAGGAGGCGGAGCTGGAGAATTAAACACTCGAATCAGCCACGCCTCCTGAACGTCTCATTTGAGACCCCCCCTCCCCCTCATTAGGCCGGCTACGGGCCTGTTAAAGTTGCTGACTAGAAAAGGTTATTTGATTTAACTAAGAAATATCTTCAACTGAACACCTCTCCAGTGTTTAATTGTAAGCGTATGGAGACCATCTCTTTGTACAGGTCTCCGTACGCTTGTTTGGTCTGCTTTTAGCGTGCACCCTAGTACAATTACAGCTTTCACACCTGCCCAAACCGACCACACCAAAAAAGGCAAATCAACTCTGCTATGTGTTAACATGAGGTAGCCCTTATTCTTCGCCTGAGATCATTTTGAAACTCAACTGAAGTTCAAGCCACTGAGCTCCATAGAAGTTATACTATGAAACACTATAGAAAGATAAATCCTGCATGCTTTGTTTCAAAACCTTCATGTCTTTATATACTGAAGAAAGAAAAAAATTTAGGATCTTGAATAATGAGATCTCTTAAAGTCTGTGTGAACCAGAAGTTACTTACAGTGGAGTATACACTAACCTGCACATTATTCAGAAACTAGATGGAACCAAACAGTCAAAAACCCAAAGCTGACAGAATCTAAAACAGCTGATGGAGTATACACTAACCTGCGCATTATTCAGACACTAGATGGAGCCAAACAGTCAAAAACACAAAGCTGACAGAAACTAAAACAGCTGATGGAGTATACACTAACCTGCGCATTATTCAGACACTAGATGGCGCCAAACAGTCAAAAACACAAAGCTGACAGAAACTAAAACAGCTGATGGAGTATACACTAACCTGCGCATTATTCAGACACTAGATGGCGCCAAACAGCTAAATCAATTTCCCTATAGCGCATGTGTTTTGACTGTGGGGGAAACCGGAGCACCCGGAGGAAACCCACGCCAACATGGGGTGAACATGCAAACTCTACACAGACACGCCAACTGACCCAGCCGGGACTCGAACCAGTGACGTTCTTGCTGTGAGGCGACTGTGCTAACCTCTGCACCACTCTGCCATTATTCAGTTGTGTATTGTTAATTATGCGATGCATGATTTGGTCTAAATTGTGAGTGTAAACTTCTGAATGTGGTTGGGTAGTCGTATATGTTTTGTCACTGTACAATGTGACCCAGTATGATGTTGTTGTCATGGTTGTGTGTTGCAGAAAGCAGGGCTACATCCCCAGCAACTATGTGACTGAAAAGGCATCAGATAAGTTGGAGCAGTTCATGTAAGTGTGTGCGTATTCATGTTTGTTTGTGTGTGTGAGAGAAAGAGTGTGAGAATGTGCGCTTGCATAAGTGTATGTCTGTGTGTGTGTGTTTATGAGAATGTGCGTGTAAGTGAGAGAGTGTATGTGTGTGTTTCCGTGCCTGATTGGTGTTAACTATGTGTGTATAATTGTGTCAGATGTGTCTGTGTGTTGTCAAATTTTCAACTTCAGTTGTTCAATGTGTTTTGTGTTGCAGATGGTTCAGTAAAAATGTGAATCGCAACAAAGCTGAAGAGCTCCTCAGGAAAGAGGTGTGTGTGTTTGTGTGTGTTTGTGTGTGTTTGTGTGTGTGTGTGTGTATCTTTAGATTATTCAATTCAATTTGATGCGTGTTCTCTACTGTGATGAGGCCTGAAACCTGACTGAAACACTTCAGAAACATTAGTGTGAATGTTCTGTACAGTATTAGTGTTGAACATCTTACTTACGTCTGTGTGTGTGTGTGCGGATGTGTGTGTTTAGGGTAAAGAAGGTGGTTTCATGGTTCGATTGTCCAGTAATACAGGGACATACACTGTGTCACTGTACACCAAAAGCACAAGGTGAGAGATGCTTACACGCGCACGCACACACACACACACACACACACACACACACACACAATAACAGTGTTCAACTACTCAAATACATGCACGCACACACACACACACACACAAGAAATAACAGTGTTCAACTACTCAAATACACACACACACACACACACACACACACACACAATAACAGTGTTCAACTACTCACACACACACACACACACACACAAACAGTGTTCAACTACTCACACACACACACACACACACAAACACACACACAATAACAGTGTTCAAATACTCTCTCTCACACACACACACACACACACACACACAAACACACACACACACACACAAAATTACAGTGTTTAACTACACACACACACACACACACACACACACAATAATAGTGTTAAACTACTTACACACACACACACACACAAACACACACACACACACACACACACAAAAACAGTGTTCAACTACTCACACACACACACACACACACACACAAAAACAGAGTTCAACTACTCACCCACACACACACACACACACACAAAATTACAGTGTTCAACTACTCACACACACACAATAACAGTGTTCAACTACTCAAATACACACATACACACACACAAAATAACAATGTTCAACTACTCACACACACACACACACACACACACACACACACACACACACACTAAGACTCGTGATGTGATGCGGATGGTGTGTGTTGATTGTGATGTTGTGGTTTTCAGTGACGGAGCAGCAGCGATCCGACATTACCAGATTAAAGAAATACACGCATCACCAAAGCAGTTCTACCTGGCGGAGAAGTACATCTTCACCAGCATTCCTGAACTGATAGAGTATCACAAACACAACGCTGCAGGTGACACACACACACACACACTGCTTATGCTTTAATGTGAGATTCAGCAAAGCAGACACATTTAAATGGCTTTATTGTGTGTGTGTGTGTGTGTGTGTGTGTGTGTGTGTGTGTGTGTGTGTGTGTGTGTGTGTGCAGGTCTTGTTTCCAGGCTCCGTCATGCTGTCGGTGATCAGAAGAGAGAAGCTCCTACAACAGCAGGATTCAGCTACGGTAACATGATTAGGGATGTCCCGATACAACATTTTAACTTCCGATACTATACCGATATTGCAGCCATCAGTATAAACCAATACCGATATAAATCCGATATCAGCACAAATTATGAATACTTTACTTTTACCTATTTCATTGAGTCGAATGTAACATGATCACACTCATCATGACTGTTCATATATACTGATATAATAACAGCTTACACCCGTACTGACCCTCTTACCGCATCTGCATTTGTTGAAGTATCACTTTCACATGCTAAATTAGAGGAGGAGGAGTGTTTTTAAAGGCCTGGTGTTATATTCAAGAACATATTATTAGCTTTTTTTTTTATTGAAAGTGTGTGAATGGTGTAACTTAACTAACTACAATTAGACTTTCGGGTCTTCGCTATTTTACATGATTATAAAATGATTAGATTCCTTTTAAATGCAGAATTGCTTGAAGCATTTTTTTGCGTTCAATAGACGTCTAATAGACATCCAAACATAGACGACTTGGCTAAAGCAAGGCTAAATTTGTTTGACAACTGAAGTCTGCCAAAACTGTCCATTTGATGACTAGTCTAGTTTTGGTCTGTTGTTAGATGTCTATTAGATCTTCACTTGACAACCCAAATTTTACCTTGTTTAGACGTTTATTAGACTACTTTTCAATGCAAAGCTGCTTGTAAGTATTTTTTTGCATTTAAGAGACATCTTATAGACATCTAAACAGAGACAGCTTGGCTAAAGCAATGCTAAACTTGGGCTGTCAAGTGAAAATCTAATAGACATCTAAAAATAGCCCCAAATTAGACCTTTCATAAAATACAGAGGAATGAATGAGTACACATGTGAAGTCTGTCTAATATGAGTATTTGATGACTAGTCTAGTTTTGGTCTGTTTTTAGATGTCTATTAGATCTTCACTTGACTGTCCAAATTTAGCCATATTTTAGCCAATCCGTCCATTTTTTTGACGTTTAGTAGATGTATATTAAATGTAAAAATGTCTTGCTTGATAATACGGTGATGGTGTTATCCCATCAAGTTTAATAGACGTCTAATAGACGTCTAAATATAGACGTCTAAAACAATTCAAAATTTGGGCTGTCAAATCTAATAGACATCTAAAAACAACCCCAAATTAGACTAGTCATTAAATACAGAGGGATGAATAAGTACACATGGGAAGTCTGCCAAAACTGTGCATTTGATGACTAGTCTAGTTTTGGTCTATTTTTAGATGGCTATTAGATTTTCACTTAACAACCCAAATTTAGCCTTGTTTAGACGTTTATTAAACTACTTTTCAATGCAAAGCTGGTTGTAAGTATTTTTTGCATTTAAGAGACATCTTATAGACATCTAAACAGAGACAGCTTGGCTAAAGCAAGGCTAAATTTAGGCTTTTAAGTGAAGATCTAATAGACATCTAAAAATATCCCCTAATTAGACTAGTCATCAAATACATGAATGAATGAATGAATGAATGAGTACACATGTTAAGTCTGTCTAATATGAGTATTTGATGACTAGTCTAGTTTTGGTCTATTTGTAGATGTCTATTAGATCTTCACTTGACAGTCCAAATGTAGCCTAATTTTAGCCAATATGTCCATGTTGAGACGTCTAGTAGATGTATATTAAATGCAAAAATTTATTGCTGGGTAATATGGTGATGGTGTGATCCTAGCAAGTTTAATAGATGTTTAATAGACATCTAAATATAATATAATTAAAAGTTTGGGCTGTCAAATCTAATAGACATCTAAAAACAACCCCAAATTAGACTAGTCATCAAATACAGAGGGATGATTGAGTGGACATGGGAAGTCTGCCAAAACTGTGCATTTGATGACTAGTCTAGTTTTGGTCTGTTGTTAGATGTCTATTAGATTTTCACTTGACAACCCAAATTTAGTCTTGTTTAGACGTCTATTAGACTTCCTTTTCAATGCAAAGCTGCTTGTAAGTATTTTTTTGCATTTAAGAGACGTCTTATAGACATCTAAACAGAGACAGCTTGGCTAAAACAAGGCTAAATTTGGGCCGTCAAGTGAAGATCTAATAGACATCTAAAAATAGCCCCAAATTAGACTAGTCATCCAATACAGAGGAATGAATGAGTACACATGTGAAGTCTGTCTAATATGAGTATTTGATGACTAGTCTAGTTTTGGTCTATTTTTAGATGTCTATTAGATCTTCACTTGACAACCCAAATGTAGCCTAATTTTAGCCAATATGTCCATGTTGAGACATCTAGTAGATGTATATTAATGTAAATGCAAAAATGCCTTGCTGGGTAATATGGTGATGGTGTGATCCCAGCAGGTTTAATAGACGTTTAATAGACATCTAAACATAGACGGCTAAAACAATTTAGAATTTGGGCTGTCAAATCTAATAGACATCTTAAAATAACCCCAAATTAGACTAGCCATTAAATACAGAGGGATGAATGAGTACACATGGGAAGTCTGCCAAAACTGTGCATTTGATGACTAGTCTAGTTTTGGTCTATTTTTAGATGTCTATTAGATTTTCACTTGACAACCCAAATTTAGCCTTTTTTAGACGTTTATTAGACTACTTTTCAATGCAAAGCTGCTTGTAAGTATTTTTTGCATTCAAGAGACGTCTTATAGACATCTAAACAGAGACAGCTTGGCTAAAGCAAGCCTAAATTTGGGCTGTCAAGTGAAGATCTAATAGGCATCTATAAAAAGCCCCAAATTAGACCTTTCATAAAATACAGAGGAATGAATGAGCACACATGTGGAGTCTATCTAAACTATGTATTTGATGACTAGTCTAGTTTTGGTCTATTTTTAGATGTCTATTTGATTTTAACTTGACATAACCTTATTTTAGCTAAGCCATGTACGTTTTAGCCAGTGCGTCTGTGTTAAGATGTCTATTAAACTTCTTTTAAATGCAAAATAGCTTGGAAGCATTTTTTTGTGGTCAATAGACGACTAATAGACATCTAAACATAGATGGCTTGGCTAAAATAAGGCTAAATTTGTATGACAACTCAAATTCGGCCTTGTTTTAGCCAATCGGTCTATCTTTAGACTTCTATTTGATGTCTATTAAATGCAAAAACTGCTTGCTGGCTAATAAGGTGCATTTTTTTAATTTACCAGCGACCTTATAGACATTTACACATGGACAGCTTGGCTAAAGCAAGGCCAAATTTGGTCTGTCAGGTAAAAATCTAACAGACATCTACACATTGCCTAAAATTAGACTGTCCAAATTCACATATTTTCTATGTTTAGGTGTCAGTTAGTCGTCTATTGAACACAAAAAATGCTTTCAAGCTATTTTGCATGTAAAAGAGGTCTAATAGACATCAAAACATAGATGGCTTGCCTAAAATAAGGTTTAATTTGGGTTGCCCAGAGAAAATCTAATACACATCTTACAATAGACCAAAACTAAACTGTGTATTTGATGACTAGTCTAGTTTTGGTCTGTTGTTAGATGTCTATTACTTGACAGCCCAAATGTAGGCTTGTTTTAGCCAATCCGTCTATGTCTAGACGTCTATTAGATGTCTATTAAACAGAGTTGCTTGGACGGGATATATGAAGATGGTGCCTGATATTGTGTGCAGATAAATGGGAGATCAACCCATCGGAGCTGACCTTCATGAAGGAGCTGGGTTCAGGTCAGTTTGGAGTGGTCCGACTGGGCAAATGGAGAGCACAGCATAAAGTGGCCATTAAAACCATCCGGGAAGGAGCCATGAGCGAAGACGATTTCATTGAGGAAGCCAAGATCATGATGTATGAGTTACACACACACACACACACACACACACACTGAAAACTCACAGTAGTTTTTATTTGATCTGAAGGATTGGGAATAAGGCCAATTAAGCAGATTTGTAAATGATCAGAACCAGCTCTTATTAGCCCAGTCCAAGGTTATTATAGCTTTGCAATTATTTATTTTATTTCAGATATTTTTTCAGGGTTAGGGTTAAGTTGGAGGAAAGTCCTCACCCCAGGTGGAGGAGTTCAAGTATCTCGTGTTTTGTTCACGATTGAGGGAAGAATGGAGCCTGAGATTGACAGGCGGATTGGTGCAGCGGCAGCAGTAATGCGGTCCACTGTGGTGAAGAAGGAGCTGAGCCGAAAGGCAAAGCTCTCGATTTACCCGTCAATCTACGTTCCTACTCTTACCTATGGTCATGAGCTTTAGGTAAAAGGTTTAAAGGCTTTAAACACAGTTGTGTGCCGCAGTGTGTGAGTATAATTAGCTAATGGTAAATCTAAAACTAATGGTAAAAATAAATGAAAAATGTAGATTATATTTGTTTATAATCAGACTTGATAAAAACAGTCTGCAGAAACACTTTGATTGACATTCTTCCTTTGTAGGTGTCATCCGAGGGGGAAAGCCCCGCCCACTAGTGCTCATCTCCCCCTCATTAGCATAAACAGCAGCCCTGAGTGAGAAGCAGCCGTCTGTTCATTAGCCATGAGAGTGTTTGAGCTGATGAAGATGATGTCAGCATAGACTAAGAGGATTATAGATGTGGAGTTTTAGATGAAGCACAAATGAACAGCGACAGGAGTCTCCATTGATTGATGCATTACTCATTACGGATGATCTGTTGGTGTTTTGTGTGACGGCAGGAACCTGTCCCACCGTAACCTGGTGCAGCTGTACGGAGTGTGCACGCAGCAGAAGCCCATATACCTGGTGACGGAGTTCATGGAGCTGGGCTGCCTGCTCAACTTCCTGCGGCAGCGCAGAGGAACGCTCGCGGCTCAGGACCTGCTGGGAATCTGCCATGACATCAGTCAGGGGATGCAGCATCTGGAGGAGAACAGATTCATCCACAGAGACCTGGTCAGAAAATGCACACACTCTCTCTCACACACACATTTACACTCACCGGCCACTTTATTAGGTACACTTTACTAGCAGCAGATTAGACCCGTTTTTGCCTTCAGAACTGCCTTAATCCTTCATGGCATAGATTCAACAAGGTACTGGAAATGTCCGACTGCCATGATAGCATCACGTAGTTGCTGCAGATTTGTCGGCTGCACATCCATGATGCCAATCTCCCGTTCATCCACATCCCAAAGCTGCTCTATTGGATTGAGCTCTGGTGACTGTGGAGGCCATTAGAGTACAGTGAACTCATCGTCATGTTCAAGAAACCAGTCTGAGATGATTGAGCTTTATGACATGCTGCGTTATCCTGCTGGAAGTAGCCATCAGAAGATGGAGACACTGTGCTCATAAAGGGATGGACATGGTCAGCAGCAATACTCAGATAGGCTGTGGTGTTGACACCATGATCAATTGGTACTAATGAGCCCAAAATGTGCCAAGAAAATCTCCCCCACACCATTACACCACCACCACCAGCCTGAACTATTGATACAAGGCAGGATGATCCATGCTTTCATGTTGTTGACGCCAAATTCTGACCCGACCATCCGAATGTGGCAGCAGAAATGGAGACTCATCAGAGCAGCAACGTTTCTCCAATCTTCTATTGTCCAGTTTTGGTGAGTCTGTGTGAATTGTAGCCTCAGTTTCCTGTTCTTAGCTGACAGGAGCGGCACCCGGTGTGCTCTTCTGCTGCTGTAGCCCATCCGCCTCAAGGTTGGACGTGTTGTGTGTTCAGAGATGCTCTTCTGCAGAGCTCGGTTGTGTCGAGTGCTTATTTGAGTTACTGTTGCCTTTCTATCAACTGGAACCAGTCTGGCCATTCTCCTCTGAACTCTGGCATCAACAAGGCATTTGCGCCCACAGAACTGCCGCTCACTGGATATTTCCTCTTTGTCGGAGCATTCTCTGTAAACCCTAGAGATGGTTGTGCGTGAAAATCCCAGTACATCAGCAGTTTCTGAAATACTCAGAGCAGCCCGTCTGGCAGCAACAACCATGCCACGTTCAAAGTCACTTAAATCTTCTTTCTTCCCCATTCTGATGCTCGCTTTGAACTGCAGCAGATCGTTTAGACCATGTCTGCATGCCTAAATGCATTGAGCTGCTGCCATGTGATTGGCTGATTAGAAATTTGCATTAACGAGCAGCTGGACGTGTACCTATTAAAGTGGCCGGTAAGCGTATATGCACACTTTAACCCCCATATACACACACACACATAAAATGAAACGTGGTTATTTTACTCACTTTCCTTTTAATCTTTAAAAGTCTTACAAGATTATATTATTCAACAACTTAATAAATTAGGTTAGATTAGATTCAACTTTATTGTCATTACACATGTATATGTACAAGACAATGAAATGCAGTTCAGGTCTAACCAGGAGAGCACTAGCAGCAAGTGCAGGATTGGCAATAAGTTATAAGTGTAATTACTGAAAACTTTGGGTAATATTTACAGTTGGATGTACTAACTAGGATTTATTTGTTTTAATGCATCCCTAAACATCATGAATGTCCTAACAGTCAGTGTTGTTTTCCAGGCGGCAAGGAACTGTCTGGTGAACTCCTCGATGGTGGTGAAGGTCTCAGACTTCGGGATGACAAGGTGAATATGAAGAAAATCATGTCTGTTTACAGTAGATCAGTGTGCAAATGTGGCTTTACAGTCATCTTCACTCAGCAACAGACATCATAATCAGCTTTGGGTAAATTCAGAAATATAAAGATCACAAACCAGCAGAAAAATCCAGCTAAAACCAGCAAACCAGCCTAAGCTGGTTTAAGCAGTTTTTTTCAGCAGGGAAGATTGCTTTATAAACATTAAAATCCAGAAACATTTACCATTTCTTTTTTATTTATTTGAACTTTGTTTATTGAAGACTACCCGGCTACCCAGCCCTAGAAAAGCGGATGAAAATGTATGAATGAATATTGGATTTATACAAGTTAAATACAACAAAGGACAGTAGATCTATCATCATCAAAATATACTCCCCTACACATGCTCCAACCCACAGTTACCATTTCTACGCGCAGAGTAACAAGGTAGTAAGTTTACGACCATTAATGAATATCTATTTTGGAAATAGTCTCATTTTACACCCTCCTTGGGAGTGCATGATAGTTTTATCATTTTTGACTTGATTTGGATCTGGCGGGAGCACTTTTAGCTAGCTAAGCATAGGTCATTGATTCGGATTAGACCATTAGCATTAGCATCTCACTAAAAAATGAAAAAACAGATGATTTTTCTTTATTGAAAGCTGGACTCTTCTGTATTTACATCGTGTACTAAGACTGATGGAAATGCAAAAAGGTTGTTGCTAGATTGCGTATGGATGCGGCCGAAAGTTAACAAGAATTATTTATATTATCTATTAAATTTCCCATTTATTGTGTTTTATTATCGTCTACCCCCACCCCAACTCTAAACCCAGTGACGTAAAAACAGTAGTTGTACCGAGTATTATTCAATTCAGTTCAATTCACCTTTATTTCTATAGCGCTATTACAATGTAGATAGTGTCAAAGCAGCTTCACATAGAAGATCATAGTACACTGAAACAGTGTAGTTCAGTTTTCAGAGTTTAAGTTCAGCTCACTTCAGTGTGGTTTAATAATCACTACTGAGAGTCCAAACACTGAAGAGCAAATCCATTATTGTGCAACTCCACAAATCCCAAACCATGCATGCCAGTGGCGACAGCGGAGGAACAAACTTCACCAATTGGCGAAAGTGAAGAATTAAAAAACCTCAAGAGAAACCAGACTCAGTTGGGCACAATCATTTCTCCTCTGGCCAAACGTCTTGTGCAGAGCTTCAGTCCAGGTGCTGGAGGCTGGAAGCTGGACCTCAGCGAAGACTCGTCAGACCCTGAGGCGTCTCATGCTCTCCACTCCTCCAGGACCACCACAGCAGCTGCTCAGGATACGGCCTGGTCCAGGATTATGGAAACCTTGGGATCATCTCGTCGCTGGTCTTGGATCGAATCAGTGGCGCTGCATAGTCTGAGGGTCTCGGGATGAGTATCCCCAGGTGGAAATAGAGAATAAAGAGAATAATTAGCGTAGCTGCTGTTCATAGTGTATATAAACGAGATGCAGAAACCTGTGTGGAGCACATTCATGCATCACACCACTAAGTGATGCACTGAGTCAATGCTTTACTAAACAGATATGTTTTTAATCTAGTGTTGAACTGAGAGAGTGTGTCTGAGCCTCGGACATCATCAGGAAGGCTATTGCAGAGTTTAGGAGCCATAAATGAGAAGGCTCGACCTCCTTTAGTAGACTTTGCAATTTTGGGAACTACCTGAAGCCCTGAGTTTTGAGATCTTAAAGAGCGAGTTGGATTGTAGCGAGACAGAAGGTTGGTTAGATAAACAGGAGCTCGATTATTTAAGCTTTATAGGTGAGAAGTAATATTTTAAATTCAATACGAAACTGAACAGGCAGCCAGTGTAAGGAGGATAACATTGGGGTGATATGATCATATTTTCTAGACCTGGTAAGAACTCTGGCAGCTGCGTTTTGTATTAGCTGAAGTTTGTTAATAGAGGATGCTGGACAGCCAGCAAACAGCATTACAGTAATCCAGCCTAGAGGTCATAAAAGCATGGACTAGCTGTTGTGCATCAGATATGGATAGCATACTACTTCATAACTTGGCGATATTTCTCAGATGAAAGAAGGCAGTTTTTGTGACATGGGAGATATTATTTTCAAAAGTTAGATTGCTGTCTAATATAACACCCAGATCTTTTATATTAGCGCTAACGCTAACTTTTTATCCCTCTAATTGTAGGTCAAGTTGTGAGATATGCTGTGTACAGGATTTAGGCCCAATGAGTAATAATTCTGTTTCGTCTGACTTCCACCCCAAACCTAAACCCAACCGTCACAGTACTGTAAAATTATGAATTATTGTTATACAGTGTCATAATAAATGCTGTTATATTGATGTGCATATCGCACTTCCAGCCAGTCGCATATCTAATCTAGACTTTACCATGTAAAGTTGCTATTATTGCTATTATGTCATTCCAGCATAATAATCAAGGAGTTTTACGGCAGCAGATGCAAGTGGGATTTATAATCTGTTACTACACAGATTGAAATAACAACAGTACTGATGCTGATGCTAAATTAAAAAACACTTTATCCAAGAGTTTGTTCCTCTCCTCCTGCAGGTACGTTCTGGACGACCAGTACTGGAGCTCTTCTGGAACAAAATTCCCAGTCAAATGGTCTCCTCCTGAGGTCTTCAACTTCTGCAGATACAGCAGCAAATCTGACGTCTGGTCATTCGGTCAGTGGCTCAGATCTTCTGTAGGGATGCACTCAATTTATTTAGTTTTTGATGATGATGGTGATGATGATGTTAATTGTGATGGTGGTGGTGATGATGATGATGATGATGATGGTAATTATGATGATGATGGTGATAGTGAAGATGATGATGGTGTTAAGATGATGATGATGT